CGGTTTCTTTGGATTGCTAGGAATGTGCAGAGGGAAAAGAATTCAGGATCATCCATCTGTCCTAACTCGCTCAGGGTTCTTGTGTAAACACTCACCACGCGCTCCTGCCGGCTGAACGTCTCAAAGCAGGCGACATTTTTTTTACAGTGTACGCTATGCATTACCGCGGATGTATGCACAACTCCGTTCGTGCCACTTACTCTTCTCAGCCGCAACGCCCTCATAAATGAGGGAGACGACGCACGAATTGTGAGCTAAGGGCAATACAGTATCCAGAACGTTGGATTTTGCTAATATTTGTGGATCAAATCGTCACGCACATAAAGTTGTATCCGCCAGCCAGCGCTCAACTTATTCCATCCTTGCCGGCCTTGAACATCCATCCATTGCTGTGCAGGGAGATGTGTAGTTTTACTTTCAGAAAGGCAATACGGCCTTGCACATTGCATCGCTGGCGGGTCAGGAGTTGATCGTTACAATACTGGTCGAGAATGGCGCTAACGTGAATGTACAATCATTGAACGGTTTCACGCCGCTTTATATGGCAGCGCAGGAGAATCACGAATCTGTTGTACGCTATCTCCTCGCACATAACGCAAATCAAGCCTTGGCTACCGAGGTTTGTTGATTCTTTTCGCTGTTTGGTCCAAGAAATCTCTGAGGATAGAAGTCTAATTTAGCAGCGAAGTTGATTTAGCAACATTTTTGAGGTGTTTTTTCTGTTCACGCAAATGCAATAACGCACGTTGACTGGGCCTCCTAGTCTTCAGTTCCACCATTGGAGAGATTTTGCAGGTTGACTTCTGGATCGTGCAGCTAATGGCTCAGGGCTGTAATTATTTAATTTTACTGGATCTCAAACTGTAGCTTCAAATAAATGGAAACAAAACTTGCGCACGTTCTGCATTACAACCTGCATATTTCGTCGTTTAGATGGAGAAAAACGGAAGAGCTAAAGAATTAATTTGTGTATTGAACATGTGAGGCGCTCGAAAATTGAAATGCGGAGGGACTTAGTAAGGCATACTCTGAGAGATTGCGCTACCGTTCTTCACTTTTTTTGCTCCGGAATGCCAAAAAAGGTGAGGTGGCAGCAGAAGTCAGCTGGAAGTGTTAGCGGCGATAGCAGCTTGTGCTCTACTATCTCTTCAATCTCTAGACTGAGTCTCTGTGCTTCGGTAGAATACGTCGTAATAAAGTTATTTTTTTGGCGTCTTACTGAACTTCGTCGACTG